ATGTCCTGATTTTGGTCCTGGATTAGACTCTCACCATTTAGTTAACATTTAAATGGTAACCGTGGCATTCACAATACAGAGTTTTGCTTTATTGAAGCAACCATTGATATGCTGACAGTACTGTACAGCATGTGTCTTCTCAGTAATTTAGGACAGCGCAGAGACTTCATGTACTCTTGATGTACTGTAATCGATATGTTCTTTCACAATTTACAAGAGCTCTGTTAACTCGCATTATATATTTGTGTGTTATACAGATAGATATTGTTACAGATATTGATTGTAATACGTTGAACATGTTTACATGGATATGAATTCTGGCAAGAGGAGGATGGTCATGTTTCAGAAAAATGGGTGTGGAAAAACATTCATATGAATTAGTGAAAACAGTATTTTGATGAATGTGCATGAGCGAATGGGCCAGAAGTATGGCATGCCTTTTATTCCTTAAACTATATTATTCATCTGTTTCAGTCATGTGACTTTACCATCAGTCGGGCAAAGTAATGGCAGTGAATTAAAAAAAAAACATACCAAGACAAAAAAAAAAAAAAACATTGACCACTGGATTTGAACCTTGAAAGGTCCCAGAAAACATTTTGAACAAACGCTACCATATCTTACATTCATGGACATTTACTTATTTAATCCAATGTCCATTTTCTGATGCTTTATACAAAGATGTATCGTAGATTTTTATATGTACAGCATGTTTGTGTGTTTATGTATGTATTTATATATAGTTCTGTGGAAAAGTAAGACATTTTTTAAGCATTATTTATATCTTTTGCTAGTGTGCCAGTAGGAAATATAAGTTTACATTTCCAAACATTCCTCTTGCAATTAATTGTACCACAGCTGGACCGTCTGACCGCTACAGACTAATTTAGGCATTAATAATGGTGCCAAACAAATGCATGATTCCCAGTCTGAGTATGTGAACAGATCCGAATATCAACGTGTAGGGTCGGTCATGCAAGGGTAGGCTAAGTAGAGAACATATTTGATTACTAACGTAACCTCGGTTCCCTGTAGAGAACGAGTATTGCTTAGCTAATAGGCTGTGGGGAAACTCATTTCCCTGAGCTGCAGCTACACAGCAAGCACAGTAGAGTGTCTAGCTCGCCCATCAGCTGTGCTCCAGCATCTGCACATCCTATAGCGAAGCGGCTCAGACGCGTGAACCAATCAGGCAGCTTCGTGCCTAAGCACGCCAGAATGGTGTGTCTTATGGCTATATAAGCCCACAACTTCGCCATAGCATCAGGTTAAATCAACTGAAGCGGGGGGGAAAAACCTGACAGATTGCAATAGTGCGGCAGGCTACACAATACTTGTTCCCTACTCTCAGGGAACCAAGGTTATGTTAGTAACCTAGTACGTTGCCTTTCGAGAAGGGTCACCTCGTATCGCGTAGCTAATACGCAGTGGGGACGCAATGTAAAACGCCACACTATTAGCAACTGACTCCATTCCAAACCCTTATAAAAGCCCCAGAGGGGCCAGAGCACCTGAGGTAACAGTATTACTTCCTAGGACAGACTTGTGCTTATGGACAGTAAATCGTGTTAGAGACTGAAAGACTACTTATCATATGGAGAGGACTCAAGCTTGCAAGCAAGCTACCTCCATGTTGTAGAATCCAACAAATGTGGACAGCGAGGACCAGCCGGCCACTGCACATATGTCTTCAATTGGTATGCCTAAAGGTAGCCATGCCTCTTTGGGAGTGGGCCCTAGCCCCTATGGGACAAACCTACTCTAGTTCTCCATCCAGCAGCAGTGGGCGGGCAGAGATGCACGGTGACTGCATCTTCGAGAGGTGGCAGCTACTCGTATCCTTTTTCCGTGGCGCTATCAACAGAAGAGAACATCACGGAAGTAAAAGAGCTTGTGTGCACTGAGTAAAGAGCGCCATGACTTTGTAAGCTCTTCATGTATCTCAGGGAAGAAAGGTGTCTTCCTTGAAGAGAGTTAACCGCATCCACAGCAAAGAGATATGCAAACTTCCGGCAGAGAGTGCAGCTTCCACGTGGGCGGCTCCCAGGCACGTGGGGCACTCCGTGTGCCCGTCCGCCTCATGCAGAAGGGATCCGCACGAGGTGCAGGGAGAGTGAGGCATTTGGAACAACGCTCGCAATCTCCAAAAAATTGCTCTTTTAGAAAACTGTGTCGCAATGGCGAGCAAACAGTTAGCAGAGAAAAGATGTGTGTTTGCCGGATGGCCATAGGAGAATGGTGACAGAAGAGAAGGGGCTTCTAGGTGAGTGAAGAAGATGCTGTCCGCTGTATACAAGGGCTCGTTCTAGCTGAGATGGCTTGATTCCACAGCGAAGACTTCGGGATGAGGCAGAGACGTGAAAGGTCGCTGAAGGAGATTAAATCTGATAATATGGCGAAGTGGTGGGCTTATATAGCCATAAGCCACACCCATTCTGACAGTCTCTGACGTGCCTAGGCACGAAGCTGCTTGATTGGTTCACATGTCTGAACCACTTCGCCATAGGATTTGCAGTTGCTGGAGCACAACCAAATGGGTGAGAGCTATTTGCTTTACTGTGCTAGCTGTGCATCTGCACTGCGTTTTAAAATATAGGCTTCAATATTCTCGAGGAAAGGAGTTTCAACGCAGCATTTTAGCAATGCAATACGAAGTGACCGTTCTCGAAAATGAACTTTGAGTAAGTACTGTGTTTTCTTCTCGACAAGATACATTTTTACATAAATAATTGTCGGGAAGCTAAAAAGGTTTTATCTGGGCTAGAGGCCTACCGTAATGCTGTAGCCCAGATCCTTTTGTTTTCTAAGGGAACCCCTGCCTCCCGAGGACATCTCTTCTCTGATCAAGTGTTTACTGGCGTGAGATAACCATTCACTCACATGAGATCAACAATGATTGCAACAATAGCAAACAACAACAATCCAGTAAATTCACAACTGACAAAATCAAATCCTGCCCTAAATTTGTTCTTGTTCAAGAAGCCAGTTCACTCGGATATATGGCACAAATAAGGAAGAAAACTGAATTGCAACTTCCATAGAGTGCCGAAGTGATGACGTCACTTTGTAGGACAACTCAGAAGCTAGAAGCACATGGGTTCCCTCGATCAAAAAGCTATGTATTTTCCCCATAGACTTTTTGAAAATTGCACACAAAAAAAAATAAATAATAAGATCTGTGTTTAAAGGGATACTCCACTTTTTTTGGAAATATGTTCATTTTACAACTCCCCCTTTTTTGAATCCATTCAGCTGATCTCCAGTTCTGGCGGTACCACTTTTAGCATACTTAGCATACATCATTCAAGTGCACAAGACCATTAGCATTTCTCCCGAAAAAATTACAGTGTATTTAGTGTTTCGATATTTGTTTCGATATTTTTCCTATTTAAAAATTGACTCTTCTATAGTTACATCGTGCACTAAGACAGACTTTACCAAATGTAAAGTTGTGATTTTCTAGGCTGATATGCAGTTCCTGCGTAATAATCAGGAAACTTTACTGCCGTACCATGAGTGCAGCAGGCGTGATGACTACACAAACTTAGTCCCGGTCACGACTCACGTTGGAAGCTGGGCACTATTTTCAGGTGCTGTGTCATAACATTACGCCTGCTGCGCTCATGGTACGACAGTGAAGTTTCCTGATTATTACATTGGAATGAGAGTATAGTTCCTAGTCATATCAGCCTAGAAAATCGCAACTTTACATTTTCCGTCTCTCTTATTGCACGATGTAACTATAGAAGAGTCAAGTTTTAAATAGGAAAATATCGAAACACTTTGGTAATATTTTTTTGGAAGAAATGCTAATGGTCTTGTGCTCTTCAATGATGTATGCTAAGCTATGCTAAAAGTGGTACCGCCAGAACCGGAGATCGGCTGAATGGATTCAAAAAAGGTAAAACTCAACAGTTTTACTCTGGGGGAGTTGTAAAATGAGCGTATTTCCAAAAAAAAAGTGGAGTATCCCTTTAACAAAGAGTTGTGAGCAGTAGCGGTTCTAGGCACGGGCGAACCGGGCAGTCGCCCGGGGCGGCATTTCCTCATGTCACATGGGGGGCGGCACGAGCAGTTAAAAAAATACTCTGTGCCACGAAGTTTTTCTATTTTTTATCATTTCGATTCAATTATTGGCAATGGCGCCCTGCTTGCTGAGAAGGTGCCGTGCGCAGAAGCGATGTCAAGGGAATCTCCTGATTAGTTCACGTATCGCGTCTTTTGTGCGCTCGAGGTCGTTATTTCAAATCCTCTATGTTTCAAATCAGGCCGATCTCATGAAAGTTCGTACCTAGGGCACGAATGTCATTTCTCGTGGCATTTATACGCCAAAAACTGTTTTTGCGTGTATATGGCACGCGATTTTCGCGTACATATGATACGCACTTTTTTGCGTATAATACGCACGAACTCCCCTCCCCCCTAAACCTAACCCAGGGTTTTTTAGTGCGTACCATATACACGAAAAAAACACTTTTGGCGTATAAATGCCACGAGAAATGACACTCGTGGTATAGATCGAAGGAGGTCTCGAAGGAGGTCTCGCCCTGGGTGTAATTCAAAGAAGAACCGCCACTGGTTGTGAGCCTTACACGTTTTGTCTATCAAGATAATCTTTACAAGTTAATCCAAAATGTATATATTTTGAAGCCTATATAAAGTTTTTAAAAAAAACACAAGCAGACACAATTAAGTTTTATAAAACCACAATCTGGTTATAACTGTGCGTTCTATGTCAGATCAAAACATGAAAATATTTAGTGGCTTTTTCCAACACAGACCTTATTTCAGCCAATTTAGCAAAAACCCATTCAAAAATCCCATAGACTTTAGAGCGAGGAAACAGGGAGTGCTAAAATGCTAACTCACTTCCACGTTTTGGCCTACAGAGTGACGTCGTAATTTAGCCACTCTATTTCATGCCGACTTTAATGGAATAAATGTTTAAACAGCTTGCCATATGGACGCGTGTTGAGCAGGGGTGTGGCCAAAGTCGTGCGAGTTTGTAAATAGAGATCCCCGCTCACAGCAGTGGCAGCATCACACTGCTAGCCTACTATTGTGTTACACTGCGATGAACATGAAGAGGACCTGACCGAGTACAGTACAGTACAGGAGAGGAGAAGAGTGCGGTGGCACCTCTGGCGTAAGTAATTTCCCTACCATGCATGTAGAGCAGATTTTATTTCAAAACGCCGACGTACAAGGACGTACATCATTAATCCTTTATGGAGAATTATCTTGCAAATAAAAGCAGCAACGATCAAAACACTCCGGAATAAGGTAGCTAGCCTAATACAGTGTTACAGTACAATAGTAGTGCAGTACAATATAGGGGACCGTGGCTTGTTCCTCCAATTAATATTTTGGTTTATTTTTGTATGTCAATTTCTGTAGGCTACACTGGTATACTCGACTTAATGAAGAATAGCCTACTCTTGTTTATTTATTCATTTGAATACCTTCATTCACTCTTGTCTGAATCAGTTACCATTAAAACATTTTCGTTATTTAAATAAAATAAACGTTAACTGAATATAAAAACTTTTAAATATATTTTTATTTCAGCTAAATGCCAATGAAACATTCCTCATTTTCGTTTAGTTAAATGTGCTAAAATTACTCAAACTGAAATCCAAATGAATGTACCAAAAAACTAACATGAAGGACAAAAATGCACAACACATTAACTAAATCTGTAATTAAAATGGAAAATATAAAAGGAAAAACTACTTTAATAATATTGGAAAATATAAAAGGAAAAACTACTTTAATAACGTTATTTTATATATGCCATTATACTTGGTATTAAGAAAGGTCATATTTATTAGATGGCTGGAAAAAGGCTATCAGATCCAATCAGATTCTAGAACCAGAAAAAACTATTCCCACACGTACATCGTGCAGAGAAGTCTATTTGATGTGTGTGATTACATCTGAAGAGTATTTTTTAAGAGTGTTTGCTCATCTGCAATACGTCCATAGGACGTTTCCTGTCAGATAGATGTTTAGAAGATGTCTTTAAGATGTAATGATGAATGTATGTTAAACTGACATCTTAAAGATGTCTATCAGATGTTAGTAAACAACAGATGCTTTCCAGATTAAGTGATCTTTAACAGACATCTTGCAGACGTATTTGTGATATCTGGGTTTGCATGCAATGTGTGATATTGCTAATTTATTCAATAAAGAGATTGATAAACGAATGTCAATTCAGCCAATAAAACTAAATGACCGTTCATTTTTAAATAACACTAGTGCGCATAGTAAACGAAGGCAGAAACAAACCCACAAATTTATGATTTCTGTGCTTTTCACACTCTTAAAGGAGTAGTTCACTTTAAAAAAAAAAAAACTTTGCTGATAATTTACTCACCCCCATGTCATCCAAGATGTCCACGTCTTTCTTTCTTCAGCTGAAAAGAAATTAAGGTTTTTGATGAAAACATTCCAGGATTTTCTCCATATAACGGACTTCATTGGGAACCAAACGGTTCAAGGTCCAATGGAGAGTTTCAGTGCAGCTTCAAAGGGCTTTAAACCAGACACCAGACGATGAATAAGGGTCTTGTCTAGGACCCTTCGAGTCATGACTCGAAAAAAGATTTGTTCATTTTGATGAACGAGTTTGAACAGGAGAGTCACGAACGTTATTCACAGAACAGTGCAAGGCGAGCATTTGTGCTTATAAAACTTAAACTTTTTTATTTATTTTTTAAATGACTGATCGTTTCGATCGTTTCTAGGTAAGACCCTTATTCATCGGCTGGTGTCTTTTAAACCCTGTTGAACAGTTTGCACTGAAACTCTCATTTGGACCTTGAACCATTTGGTTACCATTGAAGTCCATTATGAGAAAAATGCTGGAATATTTTCATCTAAAACCTTGATTTCTTTTCAACTGAAGAAAGAAAGACATGGACATCTTGGATGACATGGGGTGAGTAAATTATCAGCAAAAGTTTTTTTTTTAAAAGTGAACTACTCCTTTAAAGGGTTAGTTCACCCAAAAAATGAAAATTCTGTCAGTATTTACTCACCCTCATGTTGTTCCAAACCTCTATGTGTTTATTTGTTCTGCTGAACACAAAGGAAGATATTTGGAAGAATGTTTTAATCAAACAGATCTCATTCCCCATTGACTACCATAGTATGTATTTTTTCCTATGGTAGTCAATGGGGAATGAGATCTGTTTGATTAAAACATTCTTCCAAATATCTTCCTTTGTGTTCAGAAGAACAAATAAACACATTTGGAACAACATGAGGGTGAGTAAATACTGACAGAATTTTCATTTTTGGGTGAACTAACCCTTTAACCCTGGTTAAATCCTGGATTCTGGAAATCTTAACACAAAGTTGGATTCATCTGATCATTATAACATGTTTTGATTGATCTAATTTCTGCTTCATTTGATTAAATCTTTACTAAACTAATTTCAGAGCTCGGTATACGTCATTAAACAAAAACATCTGCAAGGTTTTAATAGAAAGGTAAGTTTACATTATAAAATAATAACCTAAAAATAACCATTAGGGAACGTTCTGTATTTTAGATTTAAAAACAACCTCCTTACTGCAATGTTATAGGAACATTACATTATACTGTAGTTTATAAAGCAATAACCATTAGGGAATGTTCTGTGTGAGTTATTTTTAGGTTATTGCAGCTATCACCCTGTATTTAAAAATAACCTCCCTGTAATTAAACTTCTTTTTTGGTTTGATTTTTCTCAACCATAAAAGTTATTTGATTCCCCCCCCCCCAAAAATGACAGAATTCAAATACTAAAGTTAAATGAACATTGTGTTTGCTGGTTAGTGGATCGTGAAACAACACTGGTCTGAATGTCAGCGTGGGTTACAATGTGTCCACTACAGCGCAAAAAGATAAAATCAATCCTGTAATATTGTTTATGGAGCTTGTTGATTTTATTTCCTATGAGCAGTGTCGTGTAATTCCAGTGCACTTTCTAAATACAAAACGAATTGTTTAAATTAAGTGATTTAGCAATGAAAATCGGCTGAATTAGACCGGATTACTGCGGAACAGTTTATTGCATGAACTTCTCATAAAATTAATTCACTGTAAATTTAATTATTTTGCCAAAGCTGCATCATTTTCTATGAACAATGCAATCGCTAAAAACAGTTCTACCAATTGTATGAGTTCACATTTGACACAGTGACTCAACATGCAGCAATTATGCTGATGCAGACAGGTTCCTGACAGGCTGGATGTACACAACAATAGTGCAGACGCATGATGAAGCTTGGGGATTTTGCCCTTAAACCTCAGGAGTACCTGTATTTACTCTTACACACAAACCTATAGACATTATGGAGCAGTCTGCATTACCACAGATTCATACAGTAATTGAGTGGATTAGAGCAGGATTCTATCAGCTGGGAAGCAAGGTGATTTTAAAAGGTGACGAATCGATGGTCTCATGAAGTAAATAGTAGCTAGTAAGCAGCTTTTTATTTGGATTGCAGGACATAAGGCAGTTCTGTACTGGACAGTTTGATTTTTATATTTAATACGTCAAGCTGTAGCAATATGGGTGATGAAACAAGTCAAGGACAAGGCTGTCGTGTTCTGTACAGTAACATGAGTATGTTTGCCTGCTGCTAGTGGTGCTGAGTCATTGGCAATAAAGGACTGGCTTAGTCAGTGATCGCAGCGGGGCTGGGCAGTGGAGCACGCATTGTGGGTCATTTTGTTGACGCACACAATCTTATGATTTCTGGCACTTGCTACAGGTTTCCACTGTGAACGATTGTTCCTGTTCTGTCTTGGTTACTGCTTGTGCATATTGGTGCTGGCCATTTTTTAAAATGACTTTTAAAGAAGTGTAACAGCTAGAATGGGTATGGTTATTTCTAGAACATATGAAAAAATCAAACCATTCTGGACCAAATGAAGCACTCCTGGTAAAAGTCAAAAGAAGGGAATTGTATTTTGTATTGCCACGCCACTGGAATCTCCAGGCTGAAAACGATTCTCAAAACGATTCTCCGGTTGAAGGTACAAGAAGGAGAGGGAGACCGAGGACAAAGGCAGATAATATGAAATGATGGAATGGGCCTGATTTGCTAAGACGCAAGTCCTGGCCAAGAACCACCATAATGGAAAGAGGTGTCTAAGAGTGCATCTGCTGTGGTGCCCTGACCATCCAATGGATTATGGGAAATGTGACGTATGAAAACAGTTTAATGCAATCTTTTCTTTTTTTTTTTTGGTCACAACATGCTAAATTTGACACTGTGTGGAACATGCTGCAGAAGTGCTGACAGAGATTGGACATCACATAACATTCAAAAATCATTTCTTTTAAATAATTGTTTCATTTAGGTGATTTTTGTTTTTAAATTGTATTTACCAGGGGTCAGCAACCCAATGGCACGTGGAGGGATAATCACTGAACGGTTTGTCGGATATGCTCGCTAGCACAACACTTTTTATAGTATTATAGTATTTATAGCTCCTAACTTAAAGCTACACTGTGTGATTTTTACCTCCATCTAGTGGTGAAAAGGTATATGACCATCCAGTGAATATTCATATATTCTGTTTCTGAATATTCTGTTCCTCTCAATTCCGATTTCGTTTTAACTCCTACGGTGACCAGTGTAGTCCAAGATTAACATGGCTTCCAGTTCGACCTCGTTCATGAGTGTTAACTCAAACGTAAACGCGAAAGGCGAAGCTTGAATTAACGGGTATGTCCCTCTTTGGCTAATGTACTTTCAAGATGGAGGGGCAACATGGCGACCGACATAAGAACCCCTTACCCATATGTATTTTCAGTGGCATATTATACACTAACGAGAATACTTTATTACTTGAACGAAGTAAACATGCATTAATGAGCACATATGTTTTTAGCTAAGAATAAACTAAAAGAGTTACATAGCTTTAACTGGATTAACAGGCTGTGTGACTGAGGAACCATTACCTCAATGTACATCATTATGGAAGTTTGAGGGACTTAAATTAAATGCATATGCTGCTATTTAGCTAATTTGTGTCATTGTGTCATTGATTATCCTTCCGTGTGACAATTTTGCCACGTTTGCCATGGTTAATGAAGAACTGTCCACAAAAATATCCAAATGTTCAAAAATCTTATGGAATGTAATGTTTTTAGGCCCAAAGAGATTTGGTAAATAGAAGTGAAATAAAGTGATACAATTTTGATTAATGAAAAAGTTCAACTTAAAAAAAAAATATTACATAACCTAATAAAATGGACAGAAGTATAAAATTGAACTCAAAATGGATGTATGTCCATGAATGTATGAATAAATACTATATTAAAAATATGAATAAATAATATAATAGTATGATGTCAGTATACACCTATATTGAAATGTTTTAAAATTCTTTTACAGAAAGTGGGAAGCAATTGTCAGATTCAGCATGGAGAGGTATTTGTCCACCCCACCGGATGGAGGCTATGGCTGGGTTGTGGTGACCTCGGCCTTCTTCATCATGGGCCTCACTGCTGCTGTTCACAAGAACTTTGGCTTGTTTTTCCTTGAAATCCAAAATCACTACAGTGTCCTTACTAGCACTACCTCATGGATGACCTCAACCACCATTGCTGTGTTTCATTTGGGTGGTGAGAATTTTTTATTTATTTTTTTGTCATCCACAGAATTTGTACGAATTGTCTCTGAACCGCTAATTAAACTCTTTAAACTGACATTTCATGATGACACCCTAGTAAGCACTAGACCTGCATAGTGAAATGTGTTGTCTTTTTTTCCATCTGTTTAGCTCCTCTTGCCAGTGCTCTCAGTATGCACCTGTCCCATCGCACTGTTATCATGGTCGGAGGGCTTCTGGCTGTCTCAGGAATGATTATCGCCTCTTTGGGCCTCAGTCTGCCTTGGATGTATCTGTCTGTGGGTATACTGCAAGGTAAGTTTAGTTATAATTATGTAATGCTGGAATTTTAAGCACATAATCCTCTTTTTAACTTGTATAAAGGCTGGAATACACACTACATAACTTTAAAGATCTTAACAGATTGAACACCAGGCAGTTGTTGAGTAAAACTGGCCATCATACACGAAAGCCTGATAGTGTGCGAACCTCATTTAGTCATTTAAAGTCGTTCAACACACAACAAACGAAACATAAACCTTGTGAAATGAAAACCTAATTTGTGTTCTAAAATCGGTTTTGATGTCTAGTTTGATATCCTCCGACAGAATGGATTTATAGTCTGAAGCTGAAAAAGTCTGCCCATCTGCATGATTTTCTGTTAAATCTGTCATCTCTGCCCAAAATATACAGTAGCACTTCATTGGAGTACATGTGATCGAGGGGGGCGGAGTTGGATCCAGATCTAAGGGGTGGAGTTTGGTAGGATTAGGGGTGGGGTTAGTGATCAGGGGTTGGAGATGGGTAGGTTTAGGTATATCTAAGGTGGGAGGAGTTGGGTCTGGATCTAACTCCTCCCCCTGGATTTCATGTTCTGCAGTGAGGACCATCTCAAAGAGGTTAAGAGACACTAATCTAGAAACAAACTTTGATGTACACAATATTTACTTAGTCTAGTATGAAAGAAATACTGGCAAGTGCCATTTAAAAATTAAAACGATCAAATTATTAAATAAAAAATAAAACATTTAAATCAGTAGACAAATAATGTTATTGTTAAATGAGTCAAATGTAAATTGATAAATCATGTTTAAATGCAAGTTATTATTCATGTACAGTATATAATGTATTATTTTATTATTACATCTATAACATTTAAACATTTACTTAAACATTCAATTTGTAAAGTGTTTATTTATACAAGTTTTTAATAAAAAAAAATATTATAAATTAAGTGACAGTAAAATCATTTACATTTCAATAAACGCTCTTCTATTTCAATAAATGCTGTTCTTTTGAAGTTTCTGCATCACAGAATCTTTACTTGATTTCCACAAAAAATATTAAGCAGCACAACTGGTTTCAACATGGATAATGATATGAAATGTTACTTAAGCAGAAAATTAGCATATTAGAATGATTTCTGAAGAATCATGTGACACTGAAGACTCGAGTAATGATGCTGAAAATTCAAAGTTTCAAATATTTTAAAACCGAAAACAGTTATTTTAAATTAATAATAATTCGCACACAAAAAAAATCAATAATTGTTTTTTATTTTAATTACATTTTTAACTGTATTTTTAAAATAAATGCAGCCTTGGTGAGCATAAGAGACCTTTCAAAAACATTAAAATAATCGTACCGAACCCAAACCTTTGATTGTTAGTTTCGGAAAATTTACACTATACGAATTTTTATTTAAATTCTATTTATTTAAAAACCATTTGGTTTATTTTGATTTATTTAAAACCATTTAAATAATAAATGTCTAAATGTTATAGATGTAGTCAATAACATGTAATAGAAGTCATACATTATATGCATGAATAATAATAATTTGCATTTTAACATGACATAATCATTGTGTGTGTGTGTGTGTGTGTGTGTGTGTGTGTGTGTGTGTGTGTGTGTGTGTGTATTTATATATTTTTATTTATTTATTTTTAGATTTAACTAAATTAAAAATGTGTGTTTGTCTACTGATTTATTTAGAATCCTCCATATTTGTCTAGTGATCATTTAATTTGAGTGTTTGTGTGTGTGTGTGTGTGTGTGTGTGTATGTGATCTAGGACTTGGAATCTCATTTTCTTGGACACCAGCCAACAGCATGGTCAGCCATTACTTCGAACGCTGGCGCCCCATTGCCTATTCGATTGCTAGTTCTGGAGAGTGTGTCTTTGCGATGATGTTCAGCCCATTTTTCCAATGGCTTATCAACAGCTATTCTTGGCAGGGGTCTCTACTCATCATCGGCGGTCTTCAGCTGAATCTGTGTGTGTGTGGTGCTCTGATGAGGCCCCTTCAAACCCCTATCCAAGGCAAACTTGTGCTGGACTCAAAAGATGAAAGCAGGACATCAAAAAAAGGCACATTCCAGTGGGATCTCATTCAGAGGCCTGAGCTGCTGCTATATATTGTGTTTGCCATCTTGGCTGCGGCGGGTTTCTTCATCCCACCTTTGTTTCTAGTGCCGTATGCCAACAGTTTGGGCATGGGGCAGTACTGGGCTGCCTCCGTTCTGTCAGTGCTGGCATTGGCGGACATGTTTGGCAGACTGGCATGCGGTTGGCTGGCTAACCTGCGGCTCGTGAGAAACTTGCAGCTGTTGACTATGGTGGTCACTGCACAGGGGGTGGTGCTGTTCCTGCTGCCCATTTCACAAAGCTACTGGACCATCCTGTTCTTCTGCTCGCTCTATGGCTTCCTGTTCGGCTGTGTGGTGGCCATCCATGTGACGACTATCCTGGATATTGTTGGACTGGATGGGTTTGATAGCTCCCTAGGGCTCTTCATGCTGTTTCGAAGCTCTGGAGGATTTGTGGGTCCACCTGCTGCAGGTCAGTGCTTGTCTTTAAAGGGATAGTTCACCCAAAAATGAAACTTCTGTCATTAATTACTCAGCCTCATGTCGTTCCAAAGCTGTAAGACCTTCGTTCATCTATAGAACACAAATGAATATATTTTTGATGAAATCCGAGAGTTTTCTGAACCCCCATAGACTGTGACCAGTAGCGGTTCTAGGCACGGGCGAACCGGGCAGTCGCCCGGGGCGGCATTTCTTTATGTCACATGGGGGGCGGCACGAGCAGTTAAAAAAAATACTCTGTGCCGCGAAGTTTTTCTATTTTTTATCATTTCGATTCAATTATTGGCAATGGCGCCCTGCTTGCTGAGAAGGTGCCGTGCGCAGAAGCGATGTCAAGGGGATCTCCTGATTAGTTCACGTATCGCGTCTTTTGCACGCTCAAGGTCGTTATTTCAAATCCTCTATGTTTCAAATAGGCGCACGGGAAGCGCGCTCATTATGCGCTCACGGGAAGCGCGCTCATAAACTTTTCAGTATGGGAGTGCACGTGCACCCAAACACTTGGGTGTTTTTTCTCTTCTCTGTAAATAAATCTTTTAGCAGAGCTACAGCAAGCGTTTTTCTGTGGTGGAAATACATTAGCTACTAAAACTCTTTTGTCGTTGTGGAGAGCGCAGTGTAATGAGTGCATGGTTCTATAGCATCGACAGCCATGGGAAAATCGGTACGAATTTTACTATTAATAATAAAAGATAAGCTACTGTGCATTATAAATGTCAGTAATGTATCTTTATTGACTCATTCTTTTTATAGAGATGATTTAAATGCTGAAATATGAGGTTTATCTTTATATAAAACCTTTTTTTGTGCTAACCTTTTTTTTAAGTTTAGTAGGTAAGATGAAAGACACTCCTTTAAAAGAAATCTTTAATGTTATTAACTTGGTGAATTGATTTCACTGTGTATTAGGCTTTTTGAACAAGATTTTGGTCACCATATTATCTAATACTTTTCAAAATGATCAACTAAAATCAACTTTAATTATGAGTTTTTACAGTAGCCTATAATATGCAAAGTTTTTTTTGTTTTTTTTTTGGGGGGGGGGGGGTGCTCGCTCGAAGGGGGTCTCGCCCTGGGTGTAATTCAAAGTAGAACCGCCACTGACTGTGACGTTATTACCACTTTCAATGACAGTAAAGGTAGTAAAGACATCGTTAAAATAGTCCATGTGACTACAGTGGTTCAACCTTAAAGGGTTAGTTCACCCAAAAATGAAAATTCTGTCAGTATTTACTCACCCTCATGTTGTTTCAACCCCGTAAGACCTTCGTTCATCTTCGGAACACAAATTAAGATATTTAAGATATTAAGATCGCTCCTGCATACAGTCCATAGGCTTCTTGAGGTACTGGCTCTTGCTGTCCCCGAAAAGTCATCAAAGACATCGTTAAAATAGTCCAAGTGACTACAGGGGCTCACTCTTAAGTTTATCAAACGACGAGAACACTTTTGTGCGCAAAAAAACAACAAAAATAACGACTTTATTTCAACTATTCACTTCCTTCTCCATGGGCCTGTAGTCAGTTAACGTAGTGTGATTGCGTAGAGCTACGTCACACGTAGGCTCACTATTGGCCGACGCTGGTCATGTGTGTGTGATGCGTGTGACGTACAATAACAGAAGCTTACGCTATTAAACTACTAACCTGACTCGCGCAGAGGGAGAAATAAACGAATAGTTGAAATAAAGTCGTTATTTTTGTTGTTTTTTTGCGCACAAAAGTGTTCTCGTCGTTTGATAAACTTAAGATTGAGCCCCTGTAGTCACTTGGACTATTTTAACGATGTCTTTAATGACTTTTCGAGGACAGCAAGAGCCAGTCCCTCAAGAAGCCTATGGACTGTATGCAGGAGCGATCTTAATATCTTAAATATCTTAATTTGTGTTCCGAAGATGAACGAAGGTCTTACGGGGTTGGAACAACATGAGGGTGAGTAAATACTGACAGAATTTTCATTTTTGGGTGAACTAACTCTTTAATGTTATGAGGCGACGAGAATATACTTTTATTCCCCAAAATAACAACTTTACAACATGAATAGCTTCAGAGACTGAACAAATTGTTGAATAAACGCATGTAAGAACGCCGGCTCAGTACTGGCCGGGTCCTGCGTCAGCATCACTCGCATGCGTCTATTACAGCGTTTTACAGTGGATTAGGGCAATAACTACAGCATGACGAGCCAGGCTAAGGAGGTGTGTTAATCTCTATTATGTCATAAAGGATCTAATGTTGCGGGTGTTTTGCAGGTTTTGCACTGTAGAAAAAGGTTTGCGTTTGTGGTGCTTTAGTAGAGAGGATAGACACTGCTAACAGCAGACTTTCTCTATGATGTCCCATATTTCTGTCTCATGTTTCTTTTGTGTATCTGTGTCACAGGCTGGCTGGTGGACTGGACTCATGACTTCGGTGCTGCTTTCTACTTGTCTGGCGTCTGCCTTGTTTTGTCTGGGGTTTTTGTGGTTCTTGTTGACAGGCTGGTGGAGAAGAAAAAACACAAACTACCAGATACATGTACTGAGACTACAGATCATCCCATGCATAAAGCGGACATTGCAGATGTTTAAAAGCCATTGATGATAATGTACCAGTGTTTTTTTATATGTCAACTTTTATCTGTTTAAAACCATATTGTGTTAATGTTTTTACCTTTCAAAAAGGATGCAGGCTTGTTATTATCTCAACCTCTCACCCCATAACTTCCAAGCAGTGAGAGATTAGTTTAAGACTGTGGCATCATTGCCACGTTTAAAGGTGCAGTGTGTACTTTTAGCGACCTCTAGCGATTCGGTTGTGAGTTGCAGTAAGGGCTCAGCCCCCTCCCTTTCGAAGAAGCTACGGTGGCTAAAACAGGACAAACATACCGTCGTCTGAGACAGCAGAGAACAGCCAGAGTAAGCCAAGAGTGTGTAACATTGTCACTGATTCTGTACAACAGTCCATTATAGACCATTTCACAAGATGTAAACAACACTGGTCCAGAAGCACTTCCTGTTTCAGTTTGTAACTGTTTTCTTTATTTCACATGTAAAGAAAAAATCTTAAAGATGTTTGTTTAACTTTTTGATTCAGTTTTAAATGTTCTGTTGGTTGCATTTTATCCCAGCTTTTATGTAGTGTTAAAAAACTGAAACAGGAAGTGCTTCTGGACCAGTGTTGTTTACATCTTGTGAAATGGTCTATAAACCACATCATGGATAAGGTTTACAAAGCCATAGTCAGGTGAGGATCAAGGGTCTTAATATATAATATAATAATAGTGCTCAGCTGATTGTCTCACAAACGTAACCAGCTCATTTCTCCCCACATAGCAAACCCACAATACAGCGAGGGAGAGAAACACATGAAACTATGCAACTATATATATTTTATAACATGTAGTAAAATATGAGCTTTTACTGTGGTTGAGCTGGTTTAAACTCGACGGGTCCGCATGAGCCCAAAGGCGTGTGCGGCAAAAATGACATGATTGTAACAGCGTGTGCGCCTCCATATCCCCTAGACCAGTGTTTCCCAACCCTGTTCCTGGCGGCACACCAACACTGCGCGTATTCTTTGTCTCCCTAATCAAACACACCCGATTCAACTCATCAGCTCATTAACCCATCTGATTATGAGCTGATGAGTTGAATCAGGTGTGTTAAGGGAGACAAAGAATACACGCAGGATACGTGTTGGTGTGCCGCCAGGAACAGGGTTGGGAAACACTGCCCTAGACAGCATTTACTACACACAATAGGCTTTTTTCTCTGATTTTGAAAACTCTTCGTGATCAGGTTATGGTCAATGACGAGTACTAATCAGCTGTCTCATGAACGTAACCAGTACATTTATCCCCACATAGCAAAGCCATAACACAGCGAGAGAGAAGAACTGTTACATGAAACAAGCCAACTACATATTTTACACCACTAACAAGGGAAAAGTCACTGTCACGGTCGAATATGTCGACCTTCTTAGAAGGGGTGCCTGCGGTTATGTAGATATAAATGTCTCATTCTAAGGTAATAAAACATTACGGTTTATTAAGTTCTTTATACACCACTGAAAACATAGTTATGGATGTCATATTGCATTTTTGTTAATAGATACTCAAAATTTTTACACATTGCACCTTTAAAGCCACTACTTGTTCGCGAACAATGACAACAACTGAGAACCGTGCAATTTAGAGCCTGTTTTTACCCTTGGAAATAATTAAATAAGCACTGAGTGCTGATTATTTCATCATGTATGAATGGAATATGCATTATGTGAGGTATATAATGATTTTACAATATCTGAAAGCTATATAAATATTATCATTTCTCTTTTTTCAGACAAACGTCTGGCAAGAAAGACAAACTTTTGTAAAGTTAAAGGTGTACTGCTATTGTATTTAAAATAAATATTACTTGGTTTCATTTGTTAAGTGTTATTTCATTTTCATTTATATAGTATTATAGATTTTGTAAATATTATAAAGTAGATTTTATTTTTAGATTTTCAATTCTAATTGTTTTTTGTGCAGTTTTGTAATTTTCTTTTGTGTCCATAGTTTTTTTTAAGTTTTAGTTTATTATTAATTACCAAATTAATGAGAACTGTTGCAATTACATTCTATGTAATTGAGTGTCTGAATACATTTTGGGGCCACTGTATTTCAGAAACCCATAAAGAATTATGCAAAAAAAAAAAAAAAAAATCTGAATAATACATGTTATTTGAGCAGTTGTTGAAAAAGTGGGCTATGCCTTATATTTCATTGTTTTTCATGTCTTGTTTTTCACTGTATAATACCACATTGCTGAGCTGGTAGGGCACTTTGGAGTTTGGAATCACAAAGATGCCTTAGTAATGTTGAAATCTGCTTAAATGAGCAAATGAGTTTTACAAAGAAATTGCCACTTTTAAAGAGATAGTTCACTTTGAAATACATTTTTGGTATGTTTTATCTTACCTCAAGGCCATCCATGTAGGTGTCTTTGTTTTCGCAGTAGTTTCAATTTTGATATTTTTAGGTCAAACCGTTCTTGTCTGTCATATAATGCAGGTCTATGGTCACCACCTCAAAGAGCATGCACAGAGAAGTCCAAATTAAACATGATTTAATGACTTTTTGATCTTAGGCTATCAATGTGTACTTACATTTACGAGTCATTAAATCATGTTTAATTTGGACTTCTCTGTGCATGCTCTTTGAGGTGGTGACCATAGACCTGCATTGACTGACATACAAGAACTGTTTGACCTAAAAATATCAAAATTGAAACTACTGCAGAAACAAAGACACCTTCATCTTGAATGCCCTTGAGGTAAGCTAAAACATATCAAAAATTAATTTCAAAGTGAATTATCCCTTTAACCTTTAAATAAGAGCAGCCATCCCCCAAAAAATTGTACACTGATCTAATGCTCCTCTGAGTCAGCAGAATCATGTTTTAGTTTTATATAAAACACACTTTTGACTGTTTATATCACAAACTGTAACTGCATACAAAGCATTTGTAATATATATATTTTTTTATTTTTAAATTATATAATCTAGTAAGCACCACAAAAATTGTACCTATACAACACTGCCATGTAAAGTCTACTAAAGACACACAGATTAAAACAAGGTTTCTTTTTGGATAATTAAAAAAAAAAACAGTGATTTGATATTCACAAAGAATAATCTCGAAAACCTTTTGTGGGACCAGTGATCACATTCACATCCCATCAGTTTGTACACGTGTGCACACAGTGGATATGGAGAGATTCCCTCTGTGTCCCATCACCAGGTGGCAGTATAACCACACTAGGAGAAGCGTGTTGTAGTGTTGATTTTGTAATGATATACAATAAATATATTTTTTTCACTGTTTTTGTACACGTTTCTGACTAATTAATGTGTAAAATTTTTGTCTATTAGTAAATAATAATAATGAAAATGCTTCATCATTTACTCTCCCAAAAGTCCTGGGGTCTTGGACCCCTCCGACGAACAATTTTTTTATGTCAAAGATATTTTGTCAAATTTTTTTAATATATATTTTTATATTTATGTCAAAATGAAGGAAGGGTAAAACCTCAACTTTCGGTTCCAAAAACCTGACAAAAACGGATGTAACTTTCAGGGTATGCAAGTAGCCATGGCAACCGTCAGTTTACTTCAGAGGTTTTCAGCGCATGCGTGCTCGTGATGAGGCTCCAGTGGGCGTGGCTCTGTCTGGGTATAGTTTTTTCTGGTCCAGCAAGCTTAGTTAATCTTCTGTGTTTACCATTATTTGATGAGATATTGGATTACATTTATAAAAAATACTCAGAAACTGAATTTCTCACAGGATAAAAATCATCAGAATACTCAGAAGTGGAAACACAGTGATGTATGAGGACCAGAGAAGTTTCACAGATGCTAAACTCTGAAGTTCCACACAGACAACAACACATGAAATGGTCAGTTGAGTAAAGGCCCAGTTTAGACACACATACAGCCATTTCCTCCACAGGGAAGTAAGCTTTGGATGCAAGAAGTGATGTAGCTTGTAGTCCCCCTGCACAGTGAAGGCCCAGATGAGAAAGCCCAGAATCTGCCCTGGATGAAGGCCATGCCACCACGCTGAGAACCCAAAGGTCATGAACAGTGAAGACCTGTTGGACCTTTTGAAGACCATTCTTCGAAGCCACTCCGCCGTGGTTCTGTTCCACTGGCGTGCAAAAACTGAAGGACGACTCGACGCTTCAGTAACCCATGGACTTCCATCAGAAAGCCCATCCCATGATGTTTTTCCACTGTGACCATAACCATGGAGACCTATTCCTGCAGCGCTGTTAACACACTCACTGATCTTCCAGTGCGCATAATAGTTCATCTTAAGTAGCAGCGACAGGATCCAGATCCATAATATATCTTGAAAAACACAAGTACTGTTTACTCTGAATATAACTGATTTTAAGAGTTCCTTGAGAGGATATTTAATCCACACCAAAACTACAACTTGCAATATCTTTGAAGTAAGATTCCCTAAATATGAAGCAAAGGGTGGAGTTACACTAATTTGCCTAACAGACTCCACAAACGTTTTGAAACTGTATAGTGGTCCTCCAAGAAGTGCGGGGAAATAAAGTGAGTAGCTTAGAAATGGAATAAGGGCTTGATCCTGACTAGAGAGTTTTCCTTCCTGCAGATCAAGCGATAGAGAAGAAACCCTCTGGGTCATCAACATGAGAGCGGATATGGCCAGTAAAAGTCTGTTAGGAATAAAACAAAAGCTCAAATTTTGATAAAATTGGATGTTTTCATACAGTGTACTTTTGGAGAAATGCAGTACCTAGAGTCTGGTGTTTCTTGAAGCCAGTATAACTGGTACTGGATGTACAAATGCCAGCAGGTTTGCCAGCACATCTGCAGTCCCAGCGTCCACTGATGAATATGCATTGGACGTAGACAGTGGATCAGCAGCAGGAGAAGGACGGCACTGAAGAACAGCAATAAGCTGTATGGACCCATCGTTACAATGGCCAAGATGAATCCTCCCAATGTCAGATAGATGTACCTTACAGTATGAATTTCAGCTATTTCATTTCACAAGTGACTTCAAAATTCAGAGAAAGGAAAATGCATTTATCAAAAATAATGAGTAACAGCATGGATCATGTTATATCTACCTGTTTATTATTGAGAGATGTCCTTGTTTGGCTAAACAACAAAACAGAAATGCAAATGGTATGTTCACAAACTGGTAAAACAGCTGTGTGTTTCCACCACAAAATATCCAAACGAGATCCATCACCAGGCCAGGTAGTTGTGGGAACTGCTCGAGTGGTGTGCGCAAGTAAAAGAGAAGATGAATATGTACAGTAAGGCTGACTTGCCTTTTATTTGATTTTCAGAGCATAATGTCTTTCTGCATTTCAGTCGTGCATAGATAG